AAGGATGGGCAGTCTCTTCCTGTGCAATTAACTGCCTCTGAAAACCTGCCTGAGGGTCAGCTGTAACTCGAAGGTACACAACAACATGACAGAAGAACTGATGCCTTTGAGTTGTAGTATTGGAGGATACATAGCTAACCATGTGACATTTAAACATTTGTATAGGAAAATAGGGGGCTCAGTGGCTTAGTGGTAAGAAGCTGCACAGCAATCCCAAAGGCACAGGGTTCGAGGCCACCTGCTGCTCTGTAGGAAAAGAATGGGTAATTTCCTCCCATGCAGTTTACTGCCTCTGAACACCTGCTGGAGGGTCAGCCCAGGGTTGGTTCTGACTTGACAGCACATGACACCAACAGCATAGTAAGCTAAAAAAAAATCCATGCAATTCTGTGTCTAGTCACTGAATGATGTCTATCTCACCACCTGAGACTACCTGGCCAGAATATCTAAGTAATTAAATTTTGCATCTTTTGTTGGACTATTGTAAAGGTCATGACCTTGAGAGCAGTCTGGATTTCTTTCCCACTAGAGATAAACAGTCAAGAGCCCAGGTAGTGGAGAGGGTAGCATATGGGGCCGCTAACTGAAAGGTCAACGGTACAAATCCCACAGAAGGAAAGATTGGCAGTCTGTTCCCTTAAAGATTTGTGTGTGCTGTTATACGCCGTCAGGCTGAAGCTGGCTCAGAGCTGCCCCTCCGGCAGGTTTCAGTCGCGGTAACTGACAACGGAAGAACATTGTCTTTCTCTCACACAGCAGCACAACTCCTTACCATTCCGCCCCCAGAACTCCCTCTTTACAGCCTTCTAGTGCAACAATGAATTAATGGAAATCCAAAATCTCTGTAAATGTTCATTAAAATTCATAAAATAAAATAAAAATTTAAAAAAGGAGAAAAGATTACAGCCTTGGAAATCTGATGCAGCGTGATTATGAGGTCAAACTGACCCCAGGACAATGAGTCTGGATTTGGTGGAGAGAAATGAAGGTGTTCTGGTGGCACAGTGCTTTATTTGTTGGGTTACACATGTGGGTTGGTTATGACTGTCATCCATTAGGGTCCACCATGCAGCCCTTAGGACAAAGATGTGTAATCTCACCCCACAGAGATTTGCCACCTTGGAAACCAGATGAATGATAGCTATGAGTTAGAATAGTGAGTTTGGTTTGGGTTTTTAGAGGTAAATTATAAAGTTTTAGTGTTTGTGCAAAGAGTAAATGTGATTGGCAGTGACTGTTTATGCCTTCTTTTAAGAATTGATTAATCCAGTGCAATTTACAACAAAAGTTAAATCCAGTTCCTCCTCATACAAATTAGCAAAATTCAAGCCAAAAAGGGCCTACTATAGAAAACATGGATTTTTACTTTAAAAATATTATTTAAAATTGTTTCTATTAAGATGAAATAGAGAAAATGAGATTTTTTTTTTTACATAACTACATTAAGTATTATTCATGGAAGAGTTGAGATTCTGTCAAGGATTAACTAAAGTAAAATACACTTTTATCATAAGCTATCATTTTGAAATATTGTAAGATTCCCTACAACTTAATTAGCTTAAAAGCATGTTTATTTATCATTCATGTTAAGTCTTTAGATGACTGTGCTATTAACTTCATGAGTCTATTTTATATTATTTTTATTACTAAAATACTTTTAAAATCCAGAGATCACTATATTCTGATAGACCATTTGTCTAAAACACAATTAACTGTGAATATAAATCTGGATGTATAAAGTATATGATTAATTTCTATAACAAAGTATTTTTTTACATACCAGCTATTGCTCTCAGCTCACTAGATTGCATTTCTGAAATGATTTTCAGAAGTTCTCTTAGTTATTTCTTGCAATCATTGTATTTCCCACAATTCTACAGATCAGGAGTTAGGCAGAATTCACCAGAAACTAGGTGATGTCTTCCAGGGTGACTCCCATGATTCTATCCTGTTAGGAACCAGGCTGGGCACGGCAGGCCAAGGTGGCCTTGTAACCTGTCTGAGATGTTGCTACCAGTTCTCCATCAAGTGGCCTTCTTCCAAGCTAGCCTGTTATCTTTCAGGGCCTTGCTTGTCCCTCAGCCAGATATACTGGAATTGGAGCTGGATTACAAGAAAGCAAGTGTTGTTGTTATGTGCTATCAAGTCATCTGTGACTCATAGTGACCCTGTGTATAACAGCCCTAAACTCTGCTCTGTCCTGTGCCAATCTCACTGTCTCTGACACACCCACCCCCAATTACCCCAGTCACTGAATCAGTCCATCTCATCGAGGGTCTTCCTCTCCTGCACCATCCCTCCATGCTCCCAAGCATGACGTTCCTCTCCAAGGACTGGGCCCGCCCTGCAACATGTCCAAAGTATGTGAGATGAAGCTTCAGAATCCTTACGTTAAAGGAGCAGCCCGACTTCATCATCTCCAGGACAAACCTGTTCGTTTTCTTAGCAGTCCATGGTATATTTTAATACTCTTCTCCAGCACCACAGCTCAAAGGCGTCAATTCTCCTTCTATCCTCCCTAGTCATTGTCCAGTTCTCTGATGCATAACAAGTGATTGCAAAGACCATGGCCTGTATCAGATGCACCTTAGTCTCCAGTCTGACATTGTTGCACTTCAGTACTTTAGAGAGGTCTCTAACTGCAGACTTTCTAAGCTCTGGGATTTAACCATGTCACTTCCTTTATACCTGTTGGTCATACCAATCATGAGAGGAATTATATACAAGAAGAGTGGAAAAAAAAATTAGTGCAATCTCTTGATGGAAAGAGGCACAACATGACATTGCCCATTATTCTAGTACAGTGATCGACCACGTCGACCATTCTTCCAATGATGTATACAGTTTAACTGATCTTTAAGAAACTAGATTTTAGAGCAGGGAAAAGAGAATCCATGTCAAACAAGAATGTTGGTTGTATAAGGCGAGAAAAGTAGAAATGGCCAGATTGCTGTGATAACTTCCTATGGCAAACAAGTGTATTCATGTCTGTTGTTTATTATTGCAGTGTCCTAACTATTGGTGGCAATAATATCATGTCTGAAAATGACAACACTTGTGCTATTAATAGCATTATGATCCTTCATCTCTAAGTTCATCTTAGAAGTATGTACTTAAAGGGATATCGTGGTTCATCTTGCATTTTGTGATTGAGGAAGAAGAGATTTAGCTGCAAGAAAGGAGAGACAGAATCCATTGGCCAACAGTAGAGATGACGGGATTTGTAAAACTCTGAACGCTTTGGGCAGAGACCCTGGGGATGCTTGGGCCATTAGTGTCTGAGGACTGCATCTTCTACGCTTGCTTTTGCTTTTTGACCCTGCTTGACTGTCTCTCTAGATTCACACAAAGAACTCTTTGGTGCAGAGATAATGCTAAGAAAGCATGCTATGCAGTGTCTACGTCTACACACACGATCTGGTGACCTGGCCCCTCCAAGTCCAAACACTGCCATTCCAAGTGCCTCAAAGAAATGGTTCCCGCTATCTGTTGACAGTCAGCTACTATCAGCTAATTGGCAATTGTTTCCCCAGAAGCCGCTTCCATTGACTGTAACCATGCCCGGAGTCACCGCTTTTATGCAGAGAGCATTCTCAACCCTGATGCATTTATTGCTTATCCTTGCAGATCCTACAAATTTTTTAAAGCGGTAAGTAAAAACATTTTGCAGTGGAATTTCATTATCTACTGAGTTTTTGAAATGTGAACCCACCAAACTAAAAATCAGGACTGTTGAACCCCTTGGAGTTGGGAAATATGTTTATTTGCCATTTGAAGAAATAATGGCTTGGTTTTGTGCTCGGCACTGGGGACCAGGTGAGGCTGGGAAAGGCGGAAGTAGGTAAAGTGACCCTCTGCATTCTGGTGGTTTCAGCTGTTTTGAAGATTCTATCCAATTTTGTTTCTGCGGCCATTTGTTATGCAGTAATTAGATGCTACTCTGTCACAGGCATAAGTCCAGGGCAGAAATTTTTCTGTGCATACATTTTAAATGTCAGCTCCAAAGATGCCTTCAGAAGGCTGCACCAGTCAATAACCACAGCCAAGCCTATTACTGTGTACTTGGGCTGTGGGAACTCTTTTATTAAAATGTGATTATTTATACACAGCAGAAATGAGGCCGTGATAGCTCGCAGGAGTTCTACACAGATCAATACCTGAGAAAATACCAAATCTGATTTCGCTTGAGTTGTAAAGCCCATAGTGTCAGATCTAGGCTAAACGTGATTTTCACTTGGGTCTCAACTCTGAAAGGGAGAGGGAAAATCTATTTGGCAGTAAGAAGTGGAAAAGATGTTTGTTCTTTTGCTCTGGAGACTTAATCCCCTGTTTCCTGGGGGCAGGAAGAGTGAGGGTTCCAGCTGGTGTTTATGGTGAGTAGCAGTGCTGGATAAGCGCTGGGACGGGAGCTCATCACCTCCCAGAGTTGCCCAGCACAGCAGGTGGATGCGCTCAGGTGGCCTTTGTCTGCTCAGCTGGCCCGGTCCATCCTGCCCAGAACCTTCCCTGGTGTACTGCTGTCCTCAGGCAGCTCGACAGTGCTTGGGGATATGGCAAACTCTAGCATTTCCTGGGGAAAAGAAATCCTCCGTTCTCACCTTTCTCCTCCACTGCTACCATGCTGAAAAGCCACAGTGGTGAAAGGGTCATCCTGTGCTCAGAGCTGAAGGCTCACCCAGTCAGAACCTGGGACGCTGACTCAAGTACTATGCACATGCTCATTTCTACTGAACACTGAGTCAGTTTCCTTGACATGTCTTAGTGTGCTTTTCTATTACTCAAATTCTTTTTTTTGTTTTGTTTTATTAGAAAGAGGTGCAAGTACTCTCGCATTATTATCCAAATATCCGGGTTCATGTGTATGTTCTTGTCCCCTCATTGTTTGAGGAGCCACAGTAAAGAAACTACTCCATTTCTCTCTGCTTCTGTTTGTTCCTGGTGGTTGTTTTACTGTAGAGTTGGAACTGACCGATGGCTGATTTTCCAGTAGATTTTTCAAAGGCTGTTAATCACACAGGAGACCATTGCCTATATCCCCTCCCCCACCCCTCAGAGCAACCAGTGGATTCGGGCCGCGTGTCATAGGATTAACAGTGCAACTCCTTACCACTAAGCCACCAGAACACAGAATAAGAGCTTCTACTTGCCGAAGAATTTGTGAGAAAATAATAAAAGGCACATAAAGTGCTTACGACAATAAATATGAACCCCTACGACTATAATTCTGCTTCATTAAAAATGGAGTTTATGGTTTGTTATTATAGTCTTACTGCAAATATCCATATTTTACATATTTAGAAGTCTAAAACTTAAGATAGGAAACACCCAATCTCCTGCTACCCAGATTATTTGAAGTTTAACATTATGTTAGTTTTGCTTTAGATTCATAAACATACAGGTAGAATGAAAGAATAAATCCCTAACATGTTTCTCGCACTCCAACCACTGCAGAATTTGAAGTGAATTGAACATACACCAAATAAATGGTATCATATTATTAGCATCTTTGGGGGCTTGCTTTTTCCATTAAATATTATGATTCTGAGATCTAAGTTGATATGTAGATATCTAGTGCATTTATTTTGTAAGAGCTGGCTGCAATTACTTTTCACACACCCCTACTGATATACATTCTTATTATTTCTTGTTTACGTTATGAAAAAAAATGCTTCAATAAATACCCCTTGACATGCCTCCCTGTGAATTTCTTTATGGCACATATTAGAAGTGAAATTGTTCAAGCTTATGTGTACTTCATCTTTATTAGGGATACCGAATTGCTGTCTAAAAATCTATCAATTTAATATTCTCATCAGCAATAAGTGAGAATTCTTCTTCTCTCTTGTCTTCACCAGTCCTTGGCATTGCCAGTTTTATCTTAATCCCCCTCCCCTCATTTTGCTGAGTATTAAGAACAGGAAGCAGCAAACTACCACGTACATTCATTTAGCTGACTTTATTTCAATAGGAGACATCTGCTGGGAACCTTAAATGCTCGACTGTTCTTAAAAGTGAATTGGATAACTACGTTAAGACCTCTCAAAAGGACTCTTTCCACATTACTGCAAGTAGAGGGATGCTAGGCGCCTTCCCATGGGACGGTTGAACTCTTAAAACTACTGCCTTGAGCAAATCTTTAAACTTTATACCAGGAAGATCCCCTGAAGTCTTCGTAAAACCAAACAATAGTTTATTTTAGCTTGACTAGCGAAAACCGACTGCCTTGAGCATTATGCTCTTCTAACAGCTATCTTTATGGGATCAAATTGACAACAGCAACTCAGAAGAGTACACAGGAAACATAGGGAGCAGGAGTTTGTTGACTTGGAAGGAGCAACTTAGAAATGGAGGGTGAGAGTGATGGTACAACTGGGAGAATAATCAATGCCACTAAATTGTACTTGAGACACTGTTGAATTGGTGAATGTTTCCCTGTGGATATTCTCAACAACAAAAGAAATACAAAACTGGAGGGAATCACTCTCACAGTTTTCAAAAGGCAGATCCTGTGTGTTTTCTCCATCTGCCCCCAGTATCTGGTTTTAACAAGCCTTTCCTTGATAGATATTGAGGTTGAGTATCTTTTTACATAGTCCTACACTATTTGGGTTTCTTCTTTTATGGATTGTCTATTCATATCCTCTACCCTTTTTATAATACAGTTTGTCATTTTCCCGTAATTTTTTTTTAAATCCTGGTATCTTAGTTATTTTAAATGCCTATACTTTATTTTTATTCCAAAGATTTATTATGGTTTGATAGTAAGCTTATCACAAGTTGATTGAAATGAAAAAAAATAATTGCATAAATAATTATTTCTTTTCTGTCATCAGGGGAAGTGTTTCCATTGTCCAAAAGAAGGTTGCCCAACAATGGGTCACTTTGCTGATAGATTTTACCTCAAAAACATGAAGCATGATAGGACATATTTTTTAAACACAGGGACTGTTGCCCCATTTGCTCGTAAGTATAACTTAGTTTTATGTTAATGCTTTAAGATCCTTCTCTTCATTGGAATAGGCCCTGAGATGCATTAGGAACAACAGAGTGAACTCTCTCCTTGAGTGTAAGCTAGTGAAAATCTCCATTTCAGTCTCAAGTAATAAAGGTTAAACCAGAAGACATTCAGGGAATGCAAGGAAGAGCTTCCACAACCAGGTTAGGGAAGCCTCTTGAGGGAAAAGAAGGATCAGTAAACGCAAGTGGGGATAAGAGAGGGCAGAGCTGAAGGGAAATGGCCCTGGGTGCTGCAGTGGACCAGGAGAAAGGTGTGTGAAGAGGTGGAAGACGCTAAGTTGAGAGTGAGGGTTTAAAGAAGTTGTGCTGCCAACATAAAGGTAGGTGCTTCAAAACCACTACCTGCTCTGTGTGCACAAGGTCAGCTCCTCCCATGTGATTTACACCCTCTGAAAACCCCCTGGAGTTGAGTTTGACTCTTCACATTATAACAGCAGCAGAGGGTTTTGAGAGTTAGAAAATCCCTCTAGTGTTTTCATGCCTTAGAAGGCACACAGTGGAGGTGGAGTGGCCTGTCGGGCACTTGTCCAGCACTCCTTTCTGCAAGGTAGAGAGAAGTGGAGAGATTGCACCACAGTTCCGGCGACAGAAGCCAAGGTGAACTTGAAGAAGCTTTGAGAGACCCAGAAGGATGATTCTGCTGGACAGATGAGGCTGGAGATAGGAGAAGACAAGTTGATTTGAGAAATGTGAGAGGTGTGGTTTCTGACACATTACATTTGAGGCATCTCCAGGTCTTGGGGCCTGCATGCCCACTTGTAGGTAGAGGTCTAAGCCGCTGGAGATGGATGCACTGTGTAAGCAGAAGCTTAGACATAGTAAAACCAGCGAGAAAACCAGTGACTGCTGCCATGGCAAACAACTAAGAAAAGTCATAGAGTGTAAAAGGAGAAAAAATAGGCAAAGAAAAGGGAGTCAGGACATCAGCAGGACTGTCCTTCCCAAGACCCCAAATGGCCACGTCCTGTGGAAGGAAATTCATATTGTTGTTGTTGCTTTGTACCATCGAGTCAGAACCGACTCCAGTGGGTTTCCGGAGGCAGTACATGTCAGGGAGGAGAGTGCCCCGCTTTCTCCCAAGGAACGGCTGGAGGATTCCAACCATGGGTCTTTGGGCTGGCAGTACAACTCCTTGCCACTAAGCCGCCAGAACTCAGTTATAACCAGTCAAGTTCTGCTCGCATCATGCTTACAGGTATCCTTTGTTATGAGAGACTTTTGATATGGGCCGTGGAACCATTCTTGTAGAAACATAGGATATTCACAGACACCGGAAGGAGGAAAGGCACAGGTGACATTTCAGGGTGTTCTTAGTTAATGAGCAAGGTGAGTTAAAACCAGGAGGGAGGGGTTTGGTGTTGTTTTTTTTTCCCTTTAGTCTAGGTCAGCAGGAGATGAAAATGTAAATGAAGCAGGCTCTAGTCTTATGCTCTTTGTTCCTTAGGGACTAATTTATTTGACAATGCTAATGTTGTACCTGCATAATAAAGGAACGCTTCTAAAGGGAACTGGCGAGTAAAACTCAGGCTAGGAAGCAGCATGGAAGTTCTTCAGGTTGAAATGGTGATAGGACTGTTCATACACTCAATACTCAACCAAACAGCTGGAGGCTACCCTTTTATTTAAGACAGGCATCACCTCTGATTCACAATTATCCGCTGTGGAAGTAAACGATTTAATCTATCCAAGAGGCGTGTGTTAAATGAGCAGAAGAGGAAGAAGCCCAGGCATAAGAGACTGAGGATGGGCAGAGAGGCAAGGGAAATGGGGGCAACGGGGCCTGATTGAGGAGCCAAGGAAAAGAGGAACGTGCAAATGGGATGTGCATTTGCCCCATCAAAGTGCTGAAAAATGAACTGAGACTAGGGCTCCAGGGCCCTTGAGTAGAGCGACAGTTCAGTCCATGGTGAGTTTGGTGAAAATGGTCTCAACAGGGTGAGAGGTGACTTAGGGAAGCATATTTAAGTGAAATGAGCTGAAGTGGGGAAAAGAAGTCCTTGACCATGATTAACTCAATAAAATCATTTCCTATGTTAAATGCTCTCCGCCTATTCTGGTGTTTTTCAAAATTTTTCAAAGTTAAAATGCATATAGCAATTTTTGGATCTAGGACAAAAGTCTGTTTAACTGTGGATTTTTTAAAGTTGCTCTGAATTATGTAGAGGAAAATGACCCTATTTCCAGGTCTGGTGCAGACCCAGGTCTCTGCCAATTAGGTATTCCAGACACACATTCCTGTAGGAAAACAAGAGGCAAGTCACTTGGCCTCTCAGTGATTATAAGCAAGGTGTTCTTGTTGATGTGTTCCTAGAACGCTTTTGGGTTGTGAAACTGTGATGAATAAAACACTTAACTATAGAAAGTGTTCAGAGAAAACCTATGAAAGAAGACACACGGCTTCCATTTTTAAAAAAATCATAAAATTGCCTGCAACAAGTAATGACTTTTCTTTTTGAAAGATGAGTAAACTGTTTCTTTTTGGGAAATAAAACGTGAGCATGTGTACATATTTTTTAAAGACTTTCTATTAATGGAAGTGCAATCTCTATGATCCTCAAACGATCATTTTCTGTGTTGTATTAAGTATATTTAAATATACATTGAGAGAGAGAGAGCGCCCTGTGTGAACGGACTCAGAGCTGACCCTTCAGCAGGTTTTCAGTGGTCCTCCTGTGAATCAGGTACCTTACTTCTTGCCCCTTACCTGGTTAAGTTAAACCTGGGGGGAGAGACTGAGGGAGAGGATGTGGCCCGAACTACCAAGTGGTACAGCAATTTCAGTGACCCTTGGAAAAGCCAGCTTTAGTGTACATACACCATGGAACCCTTGTGACAGCTTCTTCATGTACACCATGGGACTCTTGGAAGGCTATTACTGTGTTTGCTCAGAACAGTTCCAGGCCTTGTTGGAGCATGAGGACGCAGAAGCGAAGGTGAAAAGCAAAGATAGATTTATTAGAAAAGGTATGACTTTGAAAATTTCAAGTCATGGGTGTCTTTGCCAGTGAAAATTCATTTATATGTTTTGGGAGGAGCTAATTCCTTATCAATTGTAATACACATCTGCATGTTCAGCATATGTACAATATACTACCATAGTTCTCATTGGTAGGATGGACTGTTCTGTTCTTTTGCTGATGCTAATTCTGAAGAAAAGTAGGATTGTAAGAAAAGTTACTAAAACAAAACAAAGTTTAAAAAAAAAAAAAGATATGACCCAAAGGGATGGACCTGTCCTCCCTGAAAAGGGAAGTGAAATGGAGAAGGGCAGACTGAGACCTGCATATATATATGGCTTCCTTCCCTGGGCCTGCCTTGGGGCTGGAGTCTGTTCCAATAAGGTGTTATCGTGGAGAGCACAGCCTGGTGGGTGAGTCTTTTTCCAGTCAACTGTTCGTTAACCTCAGTCATGTGCCCAAAACACTAACCAGGTAACTTGGGGGGGAGGGAAGCCTTTTCTGTGCATGTCAGCATCTGCTTCCCAGTCCTGAAGACTCACATTTACCAGGCATGACCTCTGCCTCTCTTATCTCGTTGGTTCTAATCCTAAGACTACCTCTACCCAGTTTGGGTCACTTACCTAATTCAGATTCTGACAGGAGGAGATTGTCCATCTTTCTCCTGAAGGATACTTTTTTCCCTTAGTGGTACTTCTTAATGAGTTTCCAGAGTCTTGTTCTAGTTAACCCTACAATGTGCCTTTATATTAAAGTGTCCAGGATGCTGTACATTTCTAGTGTTCTTAACCGTTCTTTTTTATTCCCTCCCCCCACTGTATGTCCAGGTTGGAGGCACAAGTTGTCTGTCAAACTCAGTGGAAACAATTCCACTTGGGGGAGCATATTCCTCCGAGTAAGTGGAACGATTGGGAAAACAGAGGAATTGAATATAGCCAGGTAAGCAAGGTTGACCTAGTGCTAGTGTTCAGTGAGACAGCTGTGAGGCAGCCTGGTCTAACACAAGATATATTCTAATCTAGTCCATTTCACATTATGTAGAATGGAGTTTATCTCTTTCTTTTGCATAGGTTATGAATTACATATTAAATGTTTAAAATGTCTAACAATCACTAAATTTCTAGTAAACTCTAAAACAGTGCCTACAGAGGTGGGACATGTGTGGGAATAATCAGGCCTAGGTCAGTCAGTACAGATCTTCCCTGTGTGTCTTTTGGCAAAGTTCCCTTTATCTTGAATTTTCCTTAAGTTTTATTTGATCAACCGTATCACTTATGTATTACATATTTCACTCCCGGTGTTTAATTTTGTAATTCATTTCAGAATTTACATTATGAACACTAATTAGGTGTTACCATTTGCAAACAAATGAAGGGATTAGATTTTTTTTTGTTTCTGTGATTTTTATTATCTTCAACTAATGGGCAAAGGCACGAAAAGCAGACTCAGTGTGCTTATTTTGCCAGCTGTTGAAACACTAGTTTAATCACGCTGAAATTCTGCACATTATCCCAGTATCACTGTGTAAATGTGATTCTGTTGATGAGTCTCTGTGTTCTGCCTCAACAAACAGGCTCCACCCTACCTTCCCATAGGTGTCTCCTACCACTTTCATTCCTTTTCAACTTAACCAGGTTCCTTCAGTTGTACAATCCACCGTTGAATAGATTCCACCTTCCCCTTCTTTTCTGACTTTGCCATGATGTTCCTTTGTTCCAAGTACCTTTTCTTTTCACTGTATTTTTTTCTTATTGTGTACCGTCAAATCAGATCCAACTGGCATAGGAGGAGATTGCCCCTCCTCCAGCGGAGCATCTGGTGGTGAATTCCAACCAGGTGCCTTCTGGATTGCAGTGCACCTTCTTGCCACTACGCCACCAGAGCTCTCTCCAAGTACCCTTTCTTGTCTTTTGTTGTTGTTGTTGTTAGGTGCCATTGAGTTGAGTACGACTCATAACAACCCTATGAACCAAAAATCTGAACCTTGTTCTATAACTATTATAGTTCCTCTAATGTTTGAAGAGTTTCCAGAGGCATGTTGTGTAAGAAGTGGATGTCAATCCTGCTTCCAAACCTATCTTAATCTGGGAGCTCTACCAAACACTGTCTACCATGGGTAACTATTATGACCATTTGGCATCCCAGTGGCACAGTGTTCAGTATCACTACAATATCAGTAAACTATAAGTAAAATATCAGTATCAGCAAACTGATAGACCAGTGCCGTACCACTTTGAAGAATGTTCTTCCCAAACAAAATTAACATGAACTGACTTTTAAATAGAAAGCCCTGCCCACCAGGTCCTGATTGACTTAAACAAGAGGCTTCCAGCTCACAGCTTATTGTTAGCTAAATCGAGGCAACCAATCAGCTCACACATGATCATGAACAAAATAACAACCAACCAAATAGTTTACACCCAACTTTCAAAATAAAACAAGAGAAGCTACCCTTCAGAATCCAGCTGCTCCACACATGAGCCTCCAAAGTGGAGACTTGGTCAGGGCCCAGCCAACTTTTAAATACAAAGGCCCATCCACCAGGTCCTGCTTTATTTAAACAAGAGGCTTCCAGTCCACAGCTGCTTGTTAGCTAAATCCAGTAAATCCAGGTGACCAATCAGCTCACACACAATTGATCATGAATGAAATAACAGCTAATCAGTTTACACTCAGTCTTCAAAGATCATTATACCATCTCTCAAGTAGCAGTTGAATGTGTATATGGCTCTGTGGATCAGAGGATGTGGCATCCGGCTGTGTAAATCGGTCCATTCACAAAGGCACCTGACATGGGAGGAGAGCAGGTGGGAACTAACATGCATGGACTGTCAAGAGAACAAATAAATCTGTCTTGGAAAAGTGTAGCCAGTGTGCTCCTTAGAAGCAAGCATGGCGAGACTCCTCTCCTACTTACACTTTGGGCATGCTGACAAGAGGGGCCTGTCCTTGGAAAAAGGCATCAGGCTTGAAAAAGTGGAGGACCATGGAAGGAGAAGAAAGACCTCAATGAGATGGATTGACATGGTGACAGCAGTACTGGACTTGAACACAGTAGAGATAGTGAGATTGTCACAGAAACAAGCAGGCTTTGGTTCTTTTGTACCGAGGATCACTATGATGTCATCTAACAACAAGCCCCTTTTCAGATTTCTGTGAGTACTTTGACATTTCCACAGATCCTTTGTTAATGTCTAAAGAAGCTGTTTTTAATGTTGGATAATTTCCCAATCCTCTTTTAAGAATAATGAAACAGTGAGGGTTCCAAGTTGATGTTCCTTGTTGCAACGAAGTCAGTTAAATGAATTTGCTGGGATGCTAGCCTGTTCTTCAGTCAAGCTTTCAGAGTTTGGCTACACCATGGATTGTTTCTTAGCTATGTAGGCCTCCAGTGATACTTTATTGAATTTTATTGTTTGGACACTAAGTGAAGTCAGTTCATGGAGTGACTGAGATTGAAGAAACTGAAAGTAAGTGAAGTACCATGTCCATTAGGAAAAAACCGAAAGCAAACCTAGAAAAAGGCAAATACTGCCCATAAGAGAGGCATTAAACAAAAATATTTTAAAAATCTAAAAATCATTTAATGAGGGAAAATATATATTAAACAAATGACAACCAAAAAGGAGTAGAAATGATGATATTAATTTTAATTTCTGGTAAAGTAGGCTTTAGAGCAAAAACCAGCATAAAAGATTAAAAAAATGCATTATTAGATGGTATACAACAAAAGTATAAAACCTAAACAAATATCTCTAGACTCAGTTATAGAACTCTAAACTATTTAAAACAAAATTGAATAGGATTGAAGAGGAATCGATAACTCCACAATAACAGTAGTTGTAGTGGTTATATACCATTGAGTCGCTTATGAGTCATAGAGACCCTGTGTACAACAGCTTTAAACTCTGCTCCATCCCGAGCCAACCTGATTGTCTCCAACACACCTACCCCCATTACTGCAGTCACTGAGTCAATCCATCTCATCATGGATCTTCCTTCACCTCCTACACTCTCCCTCCACCCTCCCAAGCATAATGTTTCCCTCCAAGCTCTGGTCCTTCCTTGTAACATGCCCAGAATATGTCAGATGGAGCTTCAGAATCCTTGCCTCCAAGGGTCAGCCTTGTTTCACCCTCTCCAGGACAGACCTGTTTGTTTCATTGCAGTCCATGGTATATACTCTTCTTCAGCACCACAGCTCAAAGGCATCAATTCTCCTGCTATCATGCCTAGACATTGTCCAGATTTCTGATGCACAGTACACAATTGCAAAGACCATGGGCTGGATCAATAAATAGTAAGATAATTTAAATCACCCCTTTTGATCAAGGATAGAAAAACCAGAAAGAAATACAATAAAAATACAGAAGATCTAAACATAAAATATTATCTCATCGAATTATAGAGAACTCTATACAATGACTAAGGATGATAGGAGGATTGATGCATTTGAGCTGTGGTGCTGGAGAAGAGTATTGAATATACCATGGACTGCTAAGAAAACAAACAGGTTTGTCTGGAGAGGGTGAAGACAGGCTGCTTCTTGGAGGCAAGGATTCTGAAGCTTCATCTGACATACTTTGGACATGTTGTAAGGAGGGACCAGTCTTTGGAGAAGGGGGTCAAGCTTGGGTGGGGGGAGGGATGGCACAGGAGAGGAAGACCCTCTATGAAATAGAGTGATTCAGTGACTGGGGTAATGGGGGTAGGTGTATCAGAGACAATAAGATTGGCACAGAATAGAGAGGGTTTAGGGCCGTTGTACATAGGGTCGCTATGAGTCGCAGGCAGCTCGATGGCACATAACAACAACAACAATACCCAAAAGCAACATTCTTTTCCAGTGCACGTGAAACATTCTCCAGACAAAACAATGTTAGGCCACAAAGTACATCTCAATTAACTCAAAACATAATCATCCATCACTAGCAATCTGATCATTTCCCAACATCAGTAAGACTTGCTTTTTAATTTATTTTCTTTATATACCATAAGCCAAGACTGGCTCTTTGACTATGGAAAACTCAGCAAGATAATACCTCTGTAGGTGTCACCTGGAAGTCAGCTAGCCAAGCTCCTTGTTTACCTTATCTTTCTTTCAAGTTATGCTGGTTTTGCTATGTACTGTCAAGTTGGAACCAACTCAGGTTTTCAGAGGCTCCAAAAACACAGGAGGAGATTGCCCATCTTTCTCCTGCAGAGATTTGAACCACTGTTATTTGGATTGGCAGTATAACTTCTTACCACCACCACCACCACCCCCCAGGCCACCAGAGCTCCCTCTTTCACGGTATTGGACCATGCTAATTCATGTGAACAGACTGAAGAAGGATTGGCCATCCACTTCTGAAATAACAGGCCTCTGAAAACCCTATGTACAACAGAACACATTTAGATAACAGAAATGGCAAAGGATGTTGAGTCTTCAAGTATGGAAATATGAAGTGGATTGATTCAGTGACTGGGATAATTGGGATGGGAGTGTCAGAGACAGTGCGATTGGCACAGGACAGAGCGGAGTTTATGGCTGTTGTACATAGGGTCGCCATGAGTCGCAAGTGACTCGACAGCACATAACAACAACAACAACAACAACAATTCATGTGAATAGAAAGAATATATTCCATGGTGCGTACCAATATTTTCTTCCACTTCAGCATTGTGAGTCCTGGGAGTGTACTTATGAGTTTTGTTCTTCCGTTTACAGAGGTGATCTTAAGCCAGGCATGACTTACACAAAATTCATTGATGCAGATATTAATGTTGGGAACATTACAAGTATTGAATTCATTTGGAAGGAGTATTTGTTTGGATATTCTCAGAATAAGTTGGGAGCAGAAATGGTGACAGATATATCTGGAAAATATGGATATAAGTAAGTATAACTTTTTCTTTTGCATTTCCAAGTATAGTTATAACAACATGTGATTAGGATTTAAAGTCCATACATAATTTAATGCATATTTGCAACTAGTATAAAAATGTAAACCTTGGAAGAATCTGTTCTGGAAAACAATATATTTGAATTTTGTAAATGAACTAGTATAAAAAAAGAACAAAAAAACCCCCAGAAACCTTGTGAACCTTTACAATTAAGAGTGATAATGAAATCAAGAGTATCCTTATAAAAGCATTTACAAAATAACAATGAGTATTTTGGTTACAAGAATTAGCCCCTCCCTTCCTGGGAAACATACTAAGATGCTCTTTTATCTTTACATTTTTCAGGTCTACATTCTGTGGTGAGGACATAGTAGAAGCTAAGATTGTCCAGATTCTGAAACCATGTTATTCCTAAATGTCATCTTCAGGGGTATATTTAGTGGAAGAAAGAAAAAAAAATCTACACAAACCTCAGCCCTTATAATTGAGAAAGAAATGGATAATTTTTTTCTGCATAGAATGTTCTTCTCCTTGGTAAACATTTGTACGTACCAAGGAAACAGATTCTCAGACTTGAGCTTGAATTTTGTCCTGTGATGTATCAATGACCAACTAAACAACTCATGTTAGAATTTCCCAAATAAGTGGACAAAGAACAGCTGAAAGAGAGCCTTAGTGTGGCTGAATTTCTGAAGTATGTTTGAGTATTTCCATCTGGAGTTATCATTGTTCTAAAATGATCTTAAAAGTATTTATTGCTAAACTGTGCTGAGACCAATCATTACTGTATTTCATGATATAGAGCAGTTCACAACCCTGTGGGTTGATGTGTCTATTTATAACGAATGAAGGCTAATGCTTATCCATAATGAGAGTGCATTGCCAATAAAGATTGCAGGACTGGGATGAGTCCACGGCCTTGTGTGGTAGGAGATTTTGCCAGGCCTGTGTTTCTTTTTGCATCTTGTAGGGCCAGTGTGAGTTAGAACTGACTCCACAGCATATAACACACAACAACAGAAGGTGACCCTCAAGGGAACAGAGAGTAACAATGGGCTTGAGCAGGTTAGAGACTGCGAGAGTGGTTCAGAATAGGACGACATTCTGATCTATTGTTCTGAGGGTCCCTATCACTCATAGGTGTCTCAGTGGCACTTGTCAGCAACTTGTCAAAGTATATGACATGGAATTTCACTGTTCTTGCTTCTAAGGAGCACCCTGGTTGACCTTCCTCCAAGAAAGATTTGTTTATTCTTTGGGCAGTCCACAGCACATTTCATAGTCTACGCAAACACCACAATTCAAAGGTATCTATCACTGTTGGTGTGTATTGTCAAAATGGAACCAGCCCATAGCTGACCCTCCAGTGAGTTTTCAGACACAGGAAGAAAACTGCCCCTTGTTCTCTACAGAACAGCTAGCTGGTGGATTTGAACCACATTCCTTTGGGAGGGCAGCGCAGGATCCTCCCACTCAGTGGTCAGAGCTCCCTTTGGCTCACTTGGCCTGGGTAATTCTGGGGCCAGTCCAGAGACAGAGTAAGCATGAGCAGGCCACACAGGAGAGACAGAACCACGCTGTGTAACTAGGTCCTGGTTCCAACACTCATTAGCATCCTGCTGGTGGGGCCAACTCTATGAATCCAGGGGGAGACATCCTCCTGGGTGAGGAGCTGACCTGAATAATCGGCTATCCTCTCTGTTAAGCCTTTTTTCCCCTTTCAGGAAGGGCTCAGCCAAGGGAGAACAAGAGCAATGATTAGACAGCACTGGCTGAGCAAGTCCTGGCTTGCCTTCTTGCCCAAGAAGTTGGCTCCTTCTAAACTTGAGAACACAAAAGGGAGTTAGTTAACTTCTGGGAACTCTATTTTAATACAGACTTCCACCCCATTGTTCTTAATACCTGACCTTTTTTTGCACTGCAAGAATACTCTGAGGTCAAAAAATAGCTCAGAATAGAATTTTCTAGGCAAAAGAATTCCGAAAGTTCAAGGTAACACTATGTTGTCTTCTAAGAAGACTCTAAAAAAAAATGTATTACTCACAGGCCTGGTGAGTAAAGATTTGCACAGCTGACCCAAAGGTAGGGGGTTCAAATCCACAAGTTACTCCATGGGAGAAAGTGTAAGAGTCTCTTCTGTGCGATTTATAGCCTCTAAAAATGCACTGGAGGGTCAACTGCGAGTTGGTTCTGACTCAGCAGCAATGAGTTTGAATTGTTTTGCTTCCCTCTTAAAGGGGCTCTGGTGCAACTCCATAGACTCCCAAGGCTGTCTCTCTGGTGTGTCATATCCACCATCAACTCAGAGAAAGACAGGCATCTGTTTCCAGGCTTAGAAACCCACTGGAGGATCCGCTATGAGTCAGATTCCTACATCAGTGCAATGAGTTGAGCTGAGTTTGCGTTTCCTTCTTAGGACCTCAGTTTGTGAGGACATAGTATTTGTGAGCTGTAACTCTCAGAGTAAGGCCAGCCCCTGCTTCTGTGACATTGTACCTTTAACAGCTCTGACCCACTTGGACAAAGGTGGGCAATTGGCATCTTGAAAACACAGTGGAAGATCAGCTCTGAGTTGGAAATCATTCAGTGATGGTGAAGTGTGGTCTCATCTGCTCGCTGAGATTTCCAGTGACAGCCAGTCCCTAAATCTGAATAGGCAGTTTTTCTCATTTACTCCACCCATCACTTATTTTTCTTTTAGAAATTTTCACATAGAAATCAGAGAATTCAGTAAAATAAAGTTTAAGTACTGTAGTTCTAGAATTTTTCCAAGTTAATTTGTATGCATGTATTTATTACACACACACACACACACACACACACAGATACATGCATACACCTGAGTTTTGTTTTGCTGTCTATACACATTGTTAGTTGTTACTGAGTCAGTTTTAACTCATAATGACCATATCTACAACAGAAACATTATAAACAGTGCTGCCCAGCCTTCACAAACAATGTTGTTTGATGCCACGGTGGCCGCTCCTGATAACATGCCCACGTATATGAGAGGAAGCCCCACCAGCCTTATTTTGAAGGATCCTTTTGGCACCACTTCTAAGTCAGATTTTTCTGTTCTTTTGGCAGCCCATGGCATAACCAACATTCATCAGTAACATCACAATTCAAAGGCCTAAATTCTTCCTCTGTGTTTTTAGTTATTGTTTAACAATCAGATGCTAATAAGAAAATAAAAAAGATCATAGCTTGAGACAGGTACACCTTAGTCTTTAAGCAGACATCCTTGCTCGTTATAAACAAGTCTTTGAAAGTAGATTTGCCCAGTGCAATACATTGTTTGATTTTTTTGATTGCTGTTTCCATGGTGCTAATTGTGGATTCAAATAAAATCCTTGACAACTTTGATCTTTTCTCCCTCTATCACTATTTTGTTTATTGATCTAGTTATGAGGATTTTGTTTTCTTTTGGTTAAGGTGCCATGCTGAAGTCTATTGATAATGCATAGTTGCACTACCAAAAGGTAGTATATTTCCTACTGTTTAAGTACATTAATAGATTTTCAGAAGAATGATATTCAGTGTCCTCTCATTAAGATGGACAGTGTTGGACACTCATAGAAGAAGTGTTGCCATGAAATCAGAATCTACTTGGTGAGCTAGAAACGGTCAGTAAGTGCTTCAAGTCTTGGTTTTCTACAAGCAAAGAGGTATCATCTAAACATCACAGTCAATGTGTCTTCCTCTAATCCTGATGCCACACTCATTTTCTTCTCAGTTTCTCAGTCCAGCTTCTCAGATTTTTGGCCCAACATACAGGTTGAAGGAGCATCATAAAAGCGTATAGCCCAGCACAATTCGTCCCCAATTTCAAACCATGTAGTATTTCCTTGTTCTATTGTAACAAGTGCTTCTTAATCTAAGTTTCACCTGAACACAAATGTAAATGTTCTGGAATTCCCATTCTCTGTTCTGAAATCCATCGTTGGTTATCAAATGCCTCTGCAAAGTCAATAGAAGACAAGTAAGCATCATTCTGTGATAGCAGAAATGTGGTAGCACTTTTCATTTTGAAGGGAGTTCCTGGGCGGACCTCCAGCTCAAATTCACCAGTAGCTCCGTGAGAACCTTGGAAACCCAACAGAGGGCAAGCTATGAGTCAGTCGGTTCCCACTTGCTGCCAATACGTTTTGAGAGTTTTGTGCTTTAGGAGGACTAGAAGAAGGAAACAAACACGTGTTCAGAAGTAGGTCACATTGACCTCAGCCCCATGCCTGCGGCAGGTGGGGGCTTGGGGAGGAGCGGAGAATGAAGGCTCCTGCCAGAGCCAAGCTCAGACCTGGTGAAAAGACATGGCTCTTCCCCAGGGGTCCTCGGATCTGAGCGAATGCCTAACAGAGCCCTCAGATTTTGTCGATTCTGCAACTTTCCAGAACGAGGGCCTCGGGAACAAGAGTGTAATTTATGCCAAGTTAGTGTTCTGCAGCCTTTTAAAACCAAAGCTCAAGTTAGATAAACATAAAACCCGCATGTCCCTCCTGGGGTCTTACTCCTCCACTCGGGAAAATCAATCTGTTTTCATGGACCCTCTGGCCCAGAAGATTTGGTAAATCTTTCCTTTCTGTAGACACTGTAATAAAAATGATAGGTATGGCTTTTACTGGGCGGTGTATACACTTGTACTCGCAGATGGGCTGCTTTATGCTACACACGCTTCCCTGGAGTCGTGTCAAAGTGATTTAAGAGCAGGGTCTCTCCACAATCCCAGCCCAACCAGTGAAGCCAGGTGTCCATGAAGATGAATCCAGTCACTATGTACACGTTTGACACACTTGCCCTCCTCAGTCCACAGGGTCGTTGTGTGCTGGAATTGACCCCACACAAAGGGCTTTATACAGTCTGCTTTCCATATCTGATTCATGCAGCCACTCTTCCCTTCACGCTGTCGTCTGTTTTCCTATTTTTTTAATCATTTATTTAGCGAACATTGAGTGAATGAACCCTCTGTGCCAGCCATTATACTAAGGTCTTTATTTATTACCATCAAATCAGAACAGACTCATAGCTGACCTTCCAGCAGGTTTTCAGAGGCAGTAAATCTCATGGGAGGAGATTGCCCATCCTTCTCTCATAGAGCAGCTGGTGGATTCGAACCCAGTATCTTTGGGTTGCCAGCACAGCACCTTACCACTAGGCCACCAAAGTCTCGTAGCCACATATACACACTCACAAAGAAAGAATTCCTGTTCTTCTCAGGAAGAAAAGTAGGGCCTAAGGGAAGAGGCACAATATGGATTGAGGCTCAATGTCAAGAAGACAAAGATTCTCACCACTGTACCAATTGGCAGCATCAGGATGGATGGTGAAGAGATTGAGATTGTTCACAGCTTTAGTCTGCTTGGCTCCACAATCAACACTCTTGGCATCAGCAGCCAGGAAATTAAAAGATGTATTGCG